CTGCCCGAGCCCGAGCCCGGGCTGCAGCGGCCCCGGGGAGCCCCCGGAGCGGGGCGGTTTCCTGCGGGACTGGGGGCGAGAGGAAAAAGACCTGTCGTGTGCCTTCTGTACGTACTTGGGACAAAGTTGTTGCCCGCTGCCTCTTTTGCCTTGGTTTGTGGCACCCGCTTGGTGTGGTTACCGGGGGGTCCACGGGGGGCTGAGGGCTGTTGCCTGCAGCAGAACCCGGCAACATTCCTCAGGGAGCGCTGGACCTTGCTGCTTGAGTCTGTTGGGACAGTGCCCAGAAAGTGCAGCGCCCCAAAGCCCCCTGAGAGCGGTGCAAGCTCCCCATGCTCCCAAATCTGCCCTGGATGTATTGACTTCCTCATGCCCGTTCAGCTGCCAACACGATGGGAATGGGCTTCTGCCACATACTTCCTCGGCTCCCTGGGGCCCACCATGGGACAGTCCTCCTGGAACACATTTCCTTGGATTTCTCCATTGCCCTTGCCCTGGCAGTTCTCTGTGCTGTCCTGGGAGAAGGGCTGCCTCATAAACAAACACCAAGTCAAATTCAAGGTGTTTGACACACAGGTTTTGTTTCTGTTTTGTATGGGTAAGTCATAGATTCAGAGAATCACAGAATGGTTTGGGTTGAAGGGACCTTAAAGATCCTCTAGTTCCAACCCCCCTGCATGGGCATGGAAACGTCCCACTAGATCAGGTTGCTCCAGCCCCCCTCCAACCTGCCCTTGAACACCTCCAGGGAGGGGACAGACAGAACTTTTCCAGGTGACCTGTGTCTGACCACCCTCACACTAAAGAATTTCTTGCTAATTTCTAATCTAAATCTACCCTCTTTAAGCTTGAAACTGTCCCCCCTTGGCCTATCACCACATGTCCCTGTAAAAGGTCTCTACACAGCTTTCCAGAAGCCCCCCTCCTTCAGGTACTGGAAGGCCACTATAAGGTCTCCCCAGAGACTTCTCTTCTCCGGGCTGCTGCACAACCCCAACTCACTCAGCCTGTCTAAGTCACTACAGAAATGATGAAAGGGATGAAACGACCAAAGTGTGGACAGACACCCTATGTCTGTCAAACCCAGTTCTGGCTATGAAAACCATTTTGCACGGTTCACCTTTTTCCACTGTCTCCTGCCGGGTGCCAGACTTCTCCCTCACAGGCTCCCAGATTCCTTTTGGTTGGAGCGTCACAAGCCCTGATACCTCTTGGGCAGAGAACTGCAAGGTGCTTGAGCAACCTGCAGTAGCTGGCCAGAACAAGCCTGGCTGACATGAAGGCACTGCCAGCAGTCCAGTTGGCAGGAGAAAAAACGTAGCTCTCTGACAGGAAGGAGAACAAAGTGTTCCCTTTCCTCCTCTCTAATCCCTCAATTTTTGTGCCAAACAGGAGGCGTGTGCCCTTCCCTCTGCTTGCAGCACCTCTTGCCCTGCGCTGGGGAGCGCGTCAGTGAATACTTTGCTGCAGAAGGACCTCTAGTGTCCTTTCGCCGCTCGTGCTCTGGCCTCGCAGCTCCAGCTCGGTATTTCATGGTCTCAAGGCTTTCCTATGTGCTGTGGAAGGAGATAAGGTCCCCATAATGTGTATAGGGAAGTGGCTAGGAAAGACGGGCTGGTTTGCTCCCCCCTGAGGAGAAATCATAGAATCCTTCTGATTGGAAAAGACCTTTAAGATCAAGTCCAACCACTGACCCAGCACATTGTCAAATCCACCACTAGCCCGTGTCCCTAAGTATCACATGTACACAGCGTTTAAATACCTCCAGGGATGGTGACTCCACCACCTCTCTGGGCAGCCTGTTCCAGCGCCTGACAACGCTTCCAGTTAAGAGATTTTCCTTATGTCCAATCTAAACCTCTCCCGGCACAACTTGAGGCCACTTCCTGCTGCTACTGGTAACTGGAGAATGACTGTATGGCCCAGGTTCACCCTGCTTTACTCCCACAGCTCCTCCTCTTCACCCCAGGGGGCTCTGTGTCCCTTTCAATGCATCACAGGCTGCTCCATTGAAATACATTAAACCAAATGCTTCTGGTGTCTCAGTGCCAAACTTTGTACAGTGTTTTAGTGAACCCCACTGTCGGTCTGTAGACGTGTTGTGATTCTTGGGACTTTATTATAGAGAGCTCCACCAAAATCTGTGCTTAGTATTCAGAAGCATAACATTTTCTTAAGCAGATTGAACTTAATGACCCAGTGGAAGCTATGAGGAATACAATAAAAGTGCTCTTATATGTTTTGATCCATTTCATCATTCGTATGGGGATGCCTTCTTTAATCACCAAGATGGTCCTGCATGCAGCACTGCAGTGAGACAGTGTGTGTGTGGGAGGCTGGGTGCCCTTTATTTATTTATTTATTTATTTATTTATTTAGAGGGGTGGTGGTGTTGGAATCGTCCAGGGTCTTCGAAGGCAGAGGAAGATTTAGCAGACCATAGGAGAGAGGATGTGAGGGTGGGGGCAGCCGACTTTTAGATGTCGGCGTGTTTCCAAACTGGGCATTTCACTCGCTGCTCGACTTCACCCAGTCCCAGGCAGCCCCTCCGAGTTTGCACCTCAGCAGGGAGCAGCGGAGCAGGTCTCGTAACTTAGAGAAAGTTATAAAGCTACAAGGGATGGGCACAGGCGGGTCCCTCTCCGAGGTGAATCATGAGGTCAGAAGGGTGCCTTTTCCGTTCCCAGCGCAGGGGCCGGAGTCCGCCCGCTCCCGCAGCTCCGATGCCGGGAATCCCGGGGACCGGGCACCCGCCGGGCTTCGGTTTCCACTTTCCCC